TACCTTAAACAATTGAATCTCTTTCTCTGTAAATTAAATGTTAATCACAGACAGGAGGCTCTTGCAGGGTCTAGTAAGCTATTAACATTCCAGGTGGTAAGAAAATCTAAATTAAACACAACTTGCAATAAAGGAAGGATAAACTTTAGACAACTCTTTACAGGAAGTGTTTAGGAAGACTTTGCAAGTCACATGCAGGGAGGTGTGACTAGGGTTCGTAAACAAAGTGATTTAACTCCTAAATGGAGAATTGAGCAGTGAGGCTGCAGGGGCATGTTCTATACACCAAAACTGCTTCATTAAGCTAAAGTTGTTTTGGTGACTATAGTGTCCCCTTAAGTGGCTCTTGGGACCAGGCCAATAGTCTGTGGGCAAGAGGCTGGACTTCAAACCTCTCCAAAAGGCCATGGCATAAAAGTAAAGCCTTACTGCCAAATAATAGACAGACAGACAGATAGATAGATAGATAGATAGATAGAGTGAGTAGCATTTGACTATTTGTTCTTGGTGCTTACAGTTTTTACATTTGCTTCAACATCCACTCTAAAATATAAAAGATTTGTTTTTGCCTGGCTAAACACAACCTCAGTCTCAGTCTTAGACCCAAACCAGACTGATTGGTGTTCAGTGTAACATAAGCTCTCAGCCGCAATTACTTCGGGTAGATTCAGCAAAACTATAAATGAAATACCAAATGCTTATGTGATATTTGATGTCAGTTTTTGATTGTGTGGTAATTTCACATACCATTTTACATGTGAAAAATACTTGATGGTTTTACACACATTTTTACATATGCCTGTTAATTAGTATGTCTAGCCTACTGATGAAGGCAACACTCTTAGATCATGTCATGATTCAAAGTGAAACAGTAAATCATATGGTTTCAAGAATAAATTTAATAACTCTGTGACTCCAAGCCAATGTCTCAAATTTCATTGTAACAAAATGCGGTGCAGTGTCTCAAATGTTCCCAAAATAAAACAGATACATAAATGTTAAATCGTTTGCAAGAAATAAATTAAATGAAGGCTAAAAAAAGAATATTTTCCATTGATAAATGTTCCCCATCCAATGCTCTGTGATGTTTTAAAAGAAAGGAGATCTACCATCTACAAGCCGACCAATTTTGAAATTTTCCCTGAATTGGCGGTGGAACAGAAATATGCAGTTAGAAGGTGGCGAATAGCAGAATTACTACTCATAAAATAGATAGAAAATGGAGATGCTTGGATTTTTTCCATGTTCTAAGTAAAATCATTATCCACAAGATGTGTACTTTTCTTGTCATCATGGTCAGTGGTGTATCCTGGTTTAGTGCTGCCCTAAATATATGTTAGAAGAAATACCATAGCAGGTCTTTAGCTCTGCTCGGACAAAGACCATAGCAGGTCTTTAAGTTGGGTGGACAAATACCATAGCAGGTCTTTAGCTCTGGTGAACAAAGACCATAGCAGGTATTTAGCTCTGGTGGACAAAGACCATAGCAGGTCTTTAGGTTGGGTGGACAAAGACCATAGCAGGTCTTTAGGTTGGGTGGACAAAGACCATAGCAGGTCTTCAGCTCTGGTGAACAAAGACCATAGCAGGTCTTTAGTTCTGGGGGACAAAGACCATTGCAGGTGTTTAGCTTAATAGTACAGTGGAAGGATTATAAAATACCAGACTTCATGGTGATCTGAAATGAGCAACAACTTAATCTCTGTAAGTCAGTATCCAAATCAGTGGATTAGTTGCAGAAAAACTCCAATGTCTATATGCATCACTTTGAGAATAATGGATATGTTTCAACCTTGTATCAACCGATTACTGAGCTTTTAAATGTGCCCTTTATCGGCTTTGAATCACCATTTAAATAGTCATTGAATGCAGTTAGGGTACATGGTAAAGATTAGGCATTTTATGCTTACATCATTCAGTTGCTTTTAGCGATTTATTCAGAATTTAGTAGTCAAGCTTGCTTCCTATATATGTGTGAGACAATATCTTTATAGTTGACTGCTCTCTGCCTCTCCTAGCCCCTATGGACTCTTTTCTCCTCTTACTGCTATTCTCTGCTACCAACCCCTGACCTTGAACCACCTTTACCTGTGTTGTTTTTTTCTTAAATGTAAAACGTAATCTTTCCTCCGTATTCTGGAGATCAATTTCAGCCAGCATCTGCATTTCTTGCACCACATGTGATATATCCACTGTTTTTATTTCAAAAAGGTTGTATCTATGGAAGCTTATCATTTCCTCTACCAAAGTTAGCTACATTTTCAAAAAGTGTATAAAAGTAATTTGCTCTAAAATTGACATATAACACATCTATCTTACTTATATTATTTTGCCTTACGTGAAATATAGTTTTATATAGAACATTTAAATGGTTGAGGGTAAGCATGGTGGTACCTGAACGGTTAAGTTGAGAGAACAGTTAAATTGAGAAGCAGTAATCAAAACTTGCCATTTTGTGCCAATAAAATTTTTTTCGATCTTTATTTGTATTTTTTTCAACTATTTGTATGAACATGATTTTGACTATAAATATGCAATGTCATCTATGAAACTTGCAAACATTGTTAGAAACAGCTAGTCTGTAATTCTGAAGTTTGATATCGAGCATTACATAAATCTTTAAAGTATGCATAAATATCAGTTCATACTTGCCTTAATATTTCCTCGCCCATATCATAAAGAGACGTTCTCCTCTTGTAGACTCAAGTGGCATTTATATAAGCTTTAAGTAGTTCATTGTCAAAACGTTGCCTGCGGTTATCGAAATCGAGTATTAACTTGCAAGCATGATATGTCATGTACCACCTAACATATCTACTCTTGCACAACTAGTTCTGCTTACGTTGTCTTGCTTTCTTGGGAAATAAAAATAAAGGAGGTAAAAAAAAATCACTATTCACTAAAAGTCTTTGTTCATAAAATATTGCACCCCCTGCTTTGTTTTTATTACTTGCCTTTTACATATTTATATAAGCCCAGTCCTATTTTTGCATTTTATCTATGTTCTGTCTTATTGCACCTTTGTTTGTTCAGGTGCATGTACTCTATTTTAGTAAAAGATTTCATTCATCACTCTGGTCCACTGTGTATAGTTGAAAATATTTGAAATACAGGATTTATGGCAAGATTAAGTTGTACAAATAAAGAGCAGATTTTTACAGAATCAATCACTTGTAAGGTTGGCATGATGGGACGTTGCACCACACCATTTGTTTTGCTTAATGTGTAATTATTAGTTTAAATTAAACATGCATACATCAAAATGCAATACTTAAATAAAAAAGAACACTGCTAAATTTAGCATAGGTGTGAACAAAGGTGTGAAGAAATATATTTAACCTTTTAAGGAAAGAAGCAATTGTCCAACTTCTGAACCAAAACAAAACCAAGAATGTGTGCTATGTATGTTGTCGTAATTTGAGTGTTTCTCTTTTGATGCCCCCAATACATATTATATGATATTATATGGCTTTCTTTTAAAAATATTATATATATATATATATTTTTTTTTTTTCATATTTAGTGTTATGTTAGGCATATATATATATATGCCTAACATAACACTAAATATGAAAAAAAAATGTAAAAAAACCCACTTTCTTTCAATTTGTTTTTCTTACATTTTTTTTTTACATAAGTGCAGTCCTAATTATTGTCTAGGGTCTAAATACATTGTTGGTTGTCAACGCTAACCCTATACCATGGATAGGCAACCTTTTTGTAGTACTGTGCCAAATCAAGATCTTGTAGCACAGGTTATGTCAAACGAACTTGATTGCGTTTTATGAAGAAATAAGTAGAAGTATAGATCAGGGTATTGCAGTGGATGTGATCTATTTGGATTTTGCCAAGGCATTTGATACGGTTCCTCACAAGAGATTAGTGTTAAAACTTAAGGAAATCGGTCTAGATGGAAATGATTTTTCTTGGGTTGAACATTGGCTTTAAAATAGAGTACAACGAGTTGTCATTAATGGTGAGTTTTCAAGCTGGACAGAGGTGGCGAGTGGTGTCCCTCAGGGTTCTGTTCTGGGACCCCTTCTATTTAACATGTTTATAAATGATCTTGAAGACAGCATTGAAAGTCATGTTTCAGTGTTTGCAGATGACACAAAACTTTGTAAAATAATACAATGTGAGCAAGATATTACTTTGCTGCAGAGGGATTTAGATAGACTGGGGGACTGGGCACTCAAATGGCAGATGAAATTTAATGTTGAAAAATGCAAAGTTATGCACTTCGGCATAAAGAATACACAAGCAACGTATACCCTTAATGGAAGCGAATTAGGGATAACAACACACGAAAAGGACTTGGGAATTGTTATAGACAACAAACTATGCAACAATGTGCAATGTCAAGCAACTAGATGCACACTTGCAAAAATAGAATATTCAAGGATATAATTTTTCAATGTAGGGTAATAGCTGCTTGATCCAAGGATAAATCTGACTGCCATTCTGGGGTCAAGAAGGAATTTTTTTCCTAGTTTGTTGCAAAACTGGAAGTGCTTCAAGTCCTTTTTTTTTTGCCTTCTTTTGGATAAACAGCAAGAAATAAATGTGAGGAAGGCTGTACATGATGGACGCAGGTTTCTTTTCAGCTATGTAACTATGTAACAATGTAACTATGTAACCTTGGCATGCCTGGCCTATTTTATTATATTGAGGTGTGTATGCTGTTGTTTTGTGCTTGTGTTATTTATGGTTGCTGCAGTTGCTTAGTAATGTTGTATTTGTGTGTATGTGTGCTGTTAAATTCATGAGTAGTTTGTGGAATTGTGTATGAAACCTTTGAATTTGGGCTGTGTATGCGGGCTGCTTGTGGAATTGTGTGTAAGAGGCTGCTTGAGTGTTTGTGTGCATGTATGTGGATTAACAATGGTGTTATGTTGTTGGGAACTGTGTGTGTGTGTGTGCTGTTTGTATTCTGCAGCTCTGTGTATATCTAGCAGTGTGGGTAGATTCCCTGGGTTCCAGTGGGGACCAGGCTGGTCAGGTACAGGTCAAGGGCAGGAGCTGTAATGGCTTCTGCAGGCTGCTCTACTCCAGTGCGGATTTCTATTCACAAGTGATGGGAGGAATTGATCAGAGATCACTTCCTCTTAGTGCTTCTGTGCGTAAATTGAGGATTGTCCCTCACCACCTGCAATCACTGCTCAGTTTGCCCTAGCAAATATCTGAAGTCCCACTGGGACTCCTGGTAGGCCAGAGCTTGTTTGACTATGGCAGCCTTGAGTGCCATGCAAAAGCTTCTCAAGTGCATTCATAGCACATGTGCCATAGTTCGCTGACCTCTGCCGTATGCCAACTCTACACTAACCTACATTAACCTTAACCCTATGCTAACACTAACGCTAATCATATACCTACCTTAACTTTACCCCTAACCTTAACTCTACTCCATCCCTAACCATAACCCAACATTAACTCTAATTCAGCCTTAATCCTTGTCCTTCACTAACCCTAAACCTATGTTAACCCTACAATAACCCTAATGGTAACCTTAACTCACAGGATTCCCTGTGCCAATATCAGTACTGATATCAGTAAAGAGATTTCCCAGCTCACACATAACAGAGTGCTCAGTGAGCAGTCTCTATCGTATGGCTGCAGTATGAGAGGTGGTAGGACTAAAGAAGACAGGGCCCTGGTGCAAGAATATTTTAGGCGCCTCCATCGCAAGGATGGCCAAAAGGTAGATTCCCATCTGTTGTACAACTCCCATAATGCTTTGCCAGCTAGTGATCTACCATTTGCCCGTCCTTGCAGGGTTGTATTTAGCACTGAGCAGTTGTTTGTTTGTTTGAATGCAAGCAATGTGCTTGTATGGAGTATGTGTGTGTGTGAATGTAGGGATGAATTTGTGTGTAGTGTTGCGTGTTTTTTTGTACTGTTGTAAACGTTTGCACATATTTACACACTGACGCTCTTGTAAATACACAGAAACATAGACTAACACAAACACAGATACACAGATGCACATATGCACACTGACATACATGCAGTTACAAAGACACACACTGACACACATTCAGATACACACACACATACAAATACACAGACACACACATACACACACTGTCCCCATGTAAATATGCACACACACACACTATCACTAAGATACACACACTGACACGAATGCAGATACACAGAATGACACACATACAGATATAAACACTGACACATTAACAGATACACAGACACACATACAGACACACAGATACACAAACAGACAAAGCATGCGGTCCCGGTGCAGCTGCACTGGTTGTAGTTCGGCTGCTGCCTCTCATGCTGCAGCTCCTGCGTGCTGTCTCTGCCAAACACAAAGTAATTGGTGACGGAAAACTGGAAAAGACCAGTGCCAACCACTATCAGTAGGGAGGCATACAAAGAGACCCTATTGAGGTCTTTTCATACTCTGGGGGTCTACCTCATGTTTTAGTGCAAGCTGAGATCCATCCTAACTGCGTCAAAGCCCACTTTTTTTTAGGACAGCATGGAAAGTCATAACATTGTAATGAGATTAAATAGGTAATTTTGTCTTTGAAAATAAATCAGTTTGCAATACTAAGGTTAATATCTATTAATTTATGTAACTTGTGTCCATTTATGTAAATGTTGAAAGGCAACTTGAAGTTCAGGTGCCAATCCGGGCATGGGCTTCCATCTCAGTGAGACACATTTTATTTCCCCAAACCTATGCGTCTTAAGTCTGTGTTGGTAAATGGTAAACACCTATCCTCCTGAGCTCCTCCATATTCTATATTTTACTCTGAGAAATTTCCTCGGCCACATCTGTGATCAATGCGACTGAGGTGGACTTCCAGGCTCTAGCCACACAGAGACTGGCTGCCAGCAAATTAAACATACAGATCATATGGGGTTCATGGGCTATGGCACTTGTGAGCATTAACAGCAAAATGCACTCAGGAAATTGGTCCAAGAACAGTCACCAAACCGACTTAAATAGGAGTCATATCCATGACCAAAACTGGGAATTTTACAAGCACTTACACACAAAGTTGTGTAGTTGGGAGAGCATTATATACCACCCCATAATAAACTTGTAAGGCATTTCCAGATAATTGGTACAATTGACTAAATCCTGTTCCCACTGATGCATGAAAAAAGTCTTAACAAGTATAAAATTAGGGTGGCTTTTCTAGGTTAGTGCATGCAAGTGTCTAACAGCAATTATGGATGTGATGGGCCTTGTAGGGTAGAGGATAGGGGAATCATTTAGCAAGATCACCACTTTGATGCTAATAGAACCCAGCCAGAAGAGATTGAGGTGCTATAACATATGTAAATCCTTCCTAACCACTTGAATTTAAGGCAGATGGTAATATATAATAAATTGTAATCTCCAATCATACGTGAAGGAAGCAAGTAACCCTTAGAGGTGCGAGATAGGGATCCAAATTGCAAGGGCTTGTGCTTTCTGAGTATTTAGTTTATAATAAAATAAATGTCCAAATCAATAAAGCAAGGAGGAGGAAACAATCCTAATCAGCCACTTTGCGTCCAGGTTAAATATTGTCACTATTAATATTCAATGTAATATATTACTTCCTATCTGTCTCAACATATGCGTCATGGAGAGATATGCTACAGGCAATTTTCCTCTACTCATATACGGTCAAGCATCACAAATTCTTAACATGTTTCTGCAATATAACATAGGTTCTCTACATATGTTTCCATTGCATTTTCCAGCATTACTGGCAGTTCAAGTAAGTTTCACATAATAAATATTCCCATAGGAATACTCATGCTGCCTTTAATAAAAAATCTAGGCAACTCTTTCAGGCCAACATTTACTGTAATTTCTGTTACATCATGATGATAATCAATCTCATGTTTCCTGTTCCACAGTCTGTTTATATATTCCACATGATTGGGATGATATTTCACTTACATTTTCTGGGGCTCTCTATGGAAACATGGCAAGCAATCAGGCCACTTTTATAAATATAGATGGAACGTGTTCTACCAAGAGATCTTTCTTCTTCTTTATTGCAGAAGTCCTATGCCAACTTCCTGTTAAATCCCTATAGAGTCTATTTTATGAGAACTATACACTCTTCATTGCCCTTATAGGTCATGGACTTCATAAACTTAGATAGATCTCATTTAGCTGACACTCACCTGTCATGGAACAGTTTTGTAATAATTCCATAAACATCTATTGTAGAATTTAAGCATTTCATCGAAAATCCATCATATATTGGCAAATCTAAGGTGTTTTCATTACACAGTCTTAGACTTCTTGGCAGGATATATATATATATATATATATATATATATATATATATATTTAACCCCTTAAGGACACAACTTCTGGAATAAAAGGGATTCATGACGGAATATTTCCGTCATGTGTCCTTAAGGGGTTAAAGTAGGTTGTATTTATTTTGTTAAATCAGTTTCAACAGTATTGAGCCATGTATATACTATATAGTATGTACAATGTTTTCATCCAATGATACCCACATTTGTATCCATCCCAGTGTCCCCAGTTAAGGCAGTGTGGTATTTCAGTTTTTAAGACTGGACTATCTTCCGTTTTTGATTATTTTTCTTGCGTACATTA